ACACATAAATACATTATATATATATATATATATATATATATATATATATATATATTTTATAATTATATACACACACACACACACATGCAAATACTATATATATATATATATATATATATATATAATTTTTTTTTTTGTCTTTTAACTGTCCAGAAAAATAATTACCTGCGTATAGTACAAGTGGTCACTGGAAATTCATTATTTTAACATCTCTCTCTCTCTCTATATATATATATATATATATATATATATATATATATATATATATATAATTAATACATGTAAAATGTTTGTCACCTAGCTAATTGATTTTATCTTCTGTATCTTGACTCCAGAGTTCCACCGACTGACCCTCTGGGAAACATTCCATCCACTCGTCAGTGGATATCAGCAATTAACTGCTTATACTGTTTGATTTAACTTTTTCTTTGGTGCAATTTTTTTTTATAGTGAGTGCATACGTGTGTGCATTTGCACATGTGCAAATACGTGTATAGGTATGTAAAGGTTGTGGTTATTTGTTCTTTTGTTTTGTTTTTTTTTCTCTTTTTTTTCTTTCAACTGTAGCCATTTTGACTATTTTTGATGAAAATTTTTTATTCAATTCTTGAGTGTTCTATTGTTTCCTTGTGATGTATGAGATCACCAACGTCTGGAAGGGATTATGGCATACAGAAAAAGAATGGAAATCACGTCAGCAACAGTTAGCTAGGTGACACTTTGCCCCTATACTCCACTTGGAATCTATAGGGTAACTCATTGATTGAATATCTTCTAGTGTGAATTAAATAAAACCAATCAGAAAAAAAAAAACTTTTGTTAAAGATATTGCCATTTAGGCTCTGGCAATCAAGAATCCTGGTTTTAAAAGCAAAACAAATAAACAGGAAAACCTCATACTGATATGATTATTCTAACAAAATACATTTGCTACCAATTTGGGATCTTTTCAGTTCTTGCAACATCAGCGTACTTAATCTGTCAACAAGCAAAGAAAATCTGTTAATTGCTCTCAGAGGAATCAATTTTACCATGATAATGGAATTGGCTTTCTAAAAATAAACAGAACATAAAAGCTTTTGCAAGGAGATGAGCCAATCTTTGGTAAAAATTCCAAAGGAAAAAAGACTTAATGAAATTTAAAGCTAATTCATTTGTTCAAATAATGCAAAAAAAACAGTAATTACAAATATACCTAGTAAAAGTTTTAAACTATCAGTTGAAGTTTAAGAATTAACTACAGTTTAATTGATACTGATCAAGCTATTTGTTTAACCAATTGGCAGATATGATTGAATATTTTTAAAAGCACAAAGAAAAATTGATAATTGCTGTTTGCAATTCATCCATTTGCAGTGATAAATGTGAAAAATAAATTCATGAAGCTGAAATAGTAGTGGTATTAGCCGAAGTGAATTGATTAAAAAAAAATAATGAAGCAGTTGGTTGGGCAGGTTTTCTCAAAAATAATATACAAAGCTTAATAAAAAGGGATTGAGTGTTTAGACAAGCCTTGTCTTTTGTTAAAGGAAATTTTAATGACAATCTATGTATGAAAGAAAAGAGATTTTAGAATGAAGTTTTTTTTTTCAGAGATGTTTGTTACTGTTTTGTTTGTATTAACTAATCTGATGAATAATCATAATTTCTAAAGAGTAGAATAGATTGCAATGAGAGTAGGTTTGCTCAACACCACAAATTACTACATAACTAAAACATTAACTTAAAAACTGGAGTCATATTTGTAAATAGACTAGAAAGAGCAATACAAATGCAGAAGGCTGTGTACCTCTGTTTTATAGATTATGCAAAGGTGTTTGATAAAGTAAACCACAAAGATCTGTTGGAATTGCTTAGCAACTTTTTTTTAAAGCAATTTACCCCAAGCAAGGCAGGTGTGCCACTAGCATGCAAGGGGTTACAGATGATTGAGAACAAGAGTAAAGAGGTGTGAAAGAAGAAAGGATAAAGAGAAGAACAGGGAACAAGATCAAGATATCAGATGTTGATTGACATTACACTTGAATATTTGAAGATTATAGTTATTGGGGAAGCAAGCAAGGGGCAGAGAGTTCCACAGATGAAGTGCAAGAGAAGAAGCTGTTTGAGTAGAAAAGACAGTTACATTTAACCGCTTCTGTAGAAGTCAAGTGACTTACCTGCTAACCTGGCAGCATTCTTGTGTTTTATTGGAAAAGTAAGCCAGCTAATTTTACCTCATTTATAAGAGAGTACCTAATGCACCAGTTGGGTTGGTCCATTTTGCTAAAATAGACCTGCCCAACACATTTGCATGAGTGGTCTCTATTCACCTATATATCTCTCCATCAAATGACTCAGGTCAGTTTTTACTTGTGATTACACCAGTCTACTTGTGTGTCATACCACTTGTAAGCTAACCAATATTCTACAGTTTCGACTGAAAAGGTGAGACTGAGATGGCAACCTCATAGCTTGCTTAAATTCATGCAATCTGGAAACCAGCAAAAGTAGCTCATTGGAACAGTTGTCATGAAAATACTTGTAGAAGAGACAGTGGGAAGCCATGGCATATCTGTGAGAAAGCAACTGTAGACTAGATACCAGATCAGATTGCATATTCATCTATGAACTTTAACATATTTGGGAAGGATATTAGAATAATCATGAACCTATACTGGCAGAAAACCACCTGCATACAGACAGAAAATGAGTTCAGGAGGTATACAAAAATAGAAAGGGTGTAAGACAAGAATGTGACTTATCCCACCTATACAAATATGCAGATGACACAGTGTTGATAGCAAACATGGAAAGAAAACTACAAAAATTCCTGCAGAAGTCAGTGAAGGAAACTGAAAAGGATGGATTAAACATGAACTGCAAGAAGACAGAATGCATGGTTGTTAGCAAAAGGAAGAGTCAAAAATGCAAATTACAAATTGGGGATACTAAAATCAAACAAGTACAAAAATTTATCTAGCTGGGATGGAAAATGTGACACTGAAATCTGAAGTTACATTGAGATGGCCAAAGATGCTTTCCAAAAGCTAAGCAGAATATTAAAAAAAAGACTATGAAGAGGCTTGAAGCAACAGAAATGTGACTCTACAGAAGATGGATCAAATGACAAGGTTTTTAAAGAAAATGCAAACAAAATGGAAACTTAGCATCAGAAAGAGGCAGTTGAAATTTCTAGGAAACATAATGAGGAAGGAGGGCTTGGAAAATCTGATACTTACAAGACAGACTGAGAGAAAAAGGTTCAAAGGAAAACAATATGTAACATACTTGATAGGCTTGAATAAATGGATGGCAGAAGAGGGTCTGAGAGAAATAACAAAAAGACAAGACACAATGGAAAGGAAAATGTGGAGAGTTATTACCGTCTACGATCCTGATGGGACACAGCACATAAAAGAAGAATTAACACCTCACTCCTTGTTTTGCTATTGCTTTACACAAGATCGTTAGGTAGGTTGCTTGATGTTTTCTTCTGCTCCTCTTGCCCTCTACATGAATTTCAAATTCTCCACAGGATATTTCTTCATCATGTGTCCCAAAAATATCAACTGCCATTGTGTTATACTGGAACACATCTATTATATTGTTAATAGACTCTCCCATCTATAATAAGTAGGAGTAGTAGCAGTTGCCGGTCGCTCACTGAGTTGGTCAGTCAGTCGATGTCAGACATTAAAGTATCAGCCACCACAACTAGATTGCTGCGTCATTAACTATTATATATGTCGAACCTTTTTAGGACTGACTTAGTGAAATACAAGCCTCCACTGTGAAACTATTCTATAACACATTGTCTGCTTTTAAATACTTTGAATTGGTGAGGACAATGTCTGCACTTTCACACAGCTGCCAGTATACTGGCCAATTGGGTTCAAAGGGCTACAACTTTCTCATTGCTCACATGTTCTTACCATGCTATTCTGAGCATACTTCTGTAATTAACATTCTGAACCTGGTTGTATCTGATCTATGCATTTTTCAGATTAAATATATTGTAAGGCAATAGAAAAGCAAGAGAAATACTTAGCTTTCCACTATCTTGTATATAAAAGAAAGTCTATGAAAGCTAAATTATAAAAAAAAACTGATTCCTCTGGTAGGAAAGTTCATCAAATGCATCGTAATCAATGAGCTAAAACTTTGAAGGGAAAAATGTTGTTTAAACATACTGGATCCAACAAGATAGATATTTGACAGTGTAGGGATAAAGAAGGTGATTATCTCCCTTTGGTGGAGATAATTCACATGGGTCACATGACAGACTGCTTAGTGACATCACTTCATACAGTGATGAAAGCAGCAGTCAATTTCAGTTTGTTTACAGTAGCCAAACATAGAGGTTGCTTTCTTTAGGTTAAATATGCTTCCCCAGCAGATTACAAGTCCATGGTGCAATTTCCCTTTGGGAATATAGCTTTCCCAGATATAGACAGAAACTCCAGCTCAGAATCTTCAATTTGAGAAAACCCAATACTCACTGTTTTCTCATTCATAGAAAATGTCTTCTCCTGGAACATAGATGAATCCAGCCCATTTGAATTTGGAGTCCTACACATGGCTTCTCCAGACACAGGAGTATCTCCATATCATATACAAGACACTTCATTTTTGTTTCTCCTTAGACTCTGCTTTGCTGAGTACATATATGTGACATATATGTGCATGGGAAATATGTATATGTATATATGGTTTTGTGTATGTATTAGTAGTAGAAAAGTGTCTCTGAGAACAAAGTATGTTTTCCAGTCATTTTTCTTTCAGCCATTGTGTTCCATCTGTGAACTATGGTGTTATTATATCACAGATATAAAATGGGGGAATAATTCTTTCTTCTCTAGCTCTCCCCCATTACAACAGAAAGTAGTGAGAAGGAAAATCAGTCTCTAAAATTCCATCAGAGGGTTAAAACCCATTTTCAAGAAAATGACAGAATATTAATTTCAAATATTTTTAAGCTAAATTTTTAAAAACCATCTCTAAAATGACATACAATGACTTATGGCCATATCATGTTAAAGCACCAGTTTCTGTATGAATACTGAAGTTAAGCAATGTTGAGCCTGATCAGTACCTAGATAGGTGACCACCTGAGAATACCAGGTTCTATAAGCTTGCATGTGTGGTTGGTGTAATGGATAATGGCTCAGAATTTTTAATTGGAGTTCTAATTCCAGTTGGGTTTGTTATACTCACTTACATACAAATACCCTTGGGAAAGGTATGAATCCACCTAGCTATGGGTTAATTAGTAAGACTAGTATCACTAAAATCTTTATTATCTTCCCCACCCACCAAAAAATAAACAAAACTGTGTTATGTTCCAGGTCCTTGTACCACGGTGATAGTCCAAGTTAGAACCAATAAAGAAGAACTCGAACACGGATATGGAATAACACAGATATATTACAAACAGGAATATATACAGAGAAGTAGAAAGTATTAGTATGAACAATCAGATTTAGTAGGGAGAACAATGTAGTCTCAACCAGTATCACTATTCCAATGTCTTGTAGTAATTATCTGAATGCGACTCTGTTTCGGACTGCATCTGACTCGACTCTTGACTGACTTCTAACTGACTGACAAACTCCTGATGGACATCACTCCAGACTGAACGGTATTTAGTCACCCCACCACGAGGGCATCATGTGGCACAAGGCCAGTTTAATGTGGGATCTCCAAGCCCATGGGCTCGGCCAAAAAATAAGCTCTTTGAACCTGTATAAACGGGTTCAGGGTCGGTTTACCTCCCCGAAAGAGACTCCGCCCTTCAGCATAGCCTCGTTCGGGTTCCTCCCCACCCGAAGGCAGAGAGCTCAACCAATCAGCCGGTTGCTTGACTTCAGACTGAACTCTCTGCTTCCTCTTGAGGCACAGTATTTATTACATATGGAATAGTCCATTATGTTATTATGGGTAAGGTCCCATAACAAACTGCATACAAAATATTCAGATTTTGGTATTAAATAACCCATAGAAATGTTGATATGCCACTAAACAAAAACAACCAAGCCAAACCAAACCAAAATGACATGCAAAATTATGTAAATCTTAAAAAGTTGCCATGGCAACTAAATGTCAAAACCATCTTGAACCATCTGATATTAAATATAAAAGTCTCCAGAAATACATCATGATGTCCTTTGGGGTTGTGACATCGTGGATATAGGAGTTAGTTAAACACGTTACTGTCATTTAGTTGTTGTCAGTTCAATCCCTAGATTCAGGTTGTGAAACCGTGTTTGAACAGGAATGAACAGTAACAGATCTCACTGGGACAATATAAAATGATAATCAACAGATATCCCAATTTAGGCGAATAATGGACACCTGATGATGATCAGAGGGTACTTGGCTGAAACACTGTGTCTATAATAGCATTTGTAACAGCCAAGATGAGAACAACAGTTCAAAATAAGCATATTTTAAAACTATGTTTTCAAAATAATAAACTTGCAAGTCAACAATAAATCCAACTGCAAATATCCACCAAGTTTTGTCATAAAAATTTAACATTCTCTCCTAACAAAGAAGTTTTAAAGCTCCAGGACTTCATCAAAGAGATAAAAGCACTTGTAACTTTGTCTTTTTCCCAGGAAGTTGACAGTTCCTCTGCTTGACAGAACAGGAATACAATAATGTAAGTGTGAGAACAGAACAGCATCAAAAAGAAAACCAAGAAATACAGAAATCTCTTGAGAAGAAATCAGCCATGACTGAAAACTTGGAATGAGAACAATATGTCCTTCAGCTTGAAATACTGATCAAGATTCTCTGAATGCTAACTGAATACATTTGAGAACAAGTGAGGGCACTTCAGCTTGAATGTTGTGATGAAAACAACAAAGATGAGGAAATTGATCAAAAAGAATCACTGTATAATAACTTTTGATGAAGAATCTTTTTTGTTAGTGGTTTTAGTCAGTGGTCACAAAAAATGATGTCAGTCATGCAAGAAGATTTTTGCAGTAATTGTTTTAAGAGAGGAAGTGAAAGAAGAAGAAAAATAGAAAAGGAAAAAAATAGGAAGAAAGAAAGAAGAATAAAAAAGTAAACACAAGCGTGAAAAAGAAAAAAAGGAAAGAATGAAAAAGAAAACAGGAGAGTGTAACAAAGAATAAAAGAAAAAAAAGAAGAAAAAAGAAAAAAGAAGAAAAAAGAAAAAAGAAAAAAAGAAAAAGAAAGACAAAAGAAGAATGAAAAACAAAGAATGAAAAAGAAAACAGAAGAGTGTAAAAAAGAAAAAGAAAAAAAGGAAAAAGTAGAAGGAAAAAAGAAGAAGAAAAAAGAAAAAAGGAAAAAGAAAAAAGGAGAAAGAAAAAAGGAGAAAGAAAAATGGAGAAAGAAAAATGGAGAAAGAAAAATGGAGAAAGAAAAATGGAGAAAGAAAAATGGAGAAAGAATGAAAACAGAAAGAATGAAAAAAAGAATAAAAAAGGAAGAATAAAGAAAAAAAAGAAAATAAATGCTGAAGCCTTGTGATGAAGAGGAAATCTATGTAGTTGCCTATAACACATTCAGAAAATTATGGGCACATGGCTGAATGGTTAGAACATGAGTATTTTGTCCATGAGACAAAGTTCAAATCTCACTATGATTGGGAAATAGACAATTGAAATTTCTAGGAGAAATAATGAGGAAAGAGGGCTTGGAAAATTTGACACTTATAAGACAAATTGAAGGTAGGAGGGACAGAGGAAAACAATGCATAACATACCTAGTGAGTGTATGGCAGAAATGAATTTAGGAGGGATAAAAAAAAGACTTATTTGCTAAAACCTATACAGGACAGGTTATTGTAGAGAGCCATGACTGCCAATGTCTTCAAGGGACACATCATATAAAAAAAGACTTTTTAATAATATCAGCCTGGGAAGGTGATCCCAACATGGAGCATCAATGAGAAATGAAGTGTCTGATCCAAGACATACTACTGTCTGATTCAAGCCACAAGTCATCATGACTGTGGATTTGAGCTTACTGACCTTGTTTAACCACTGACCACACCAGATGATGCACTTTAATAGCTGTAACTAAGGTATGCCAAGCATAGGTGCAGTATATTGATCAATTTATTTGTTTGTTTAATGGCCTATCTACACATTATGGGTCATTTAAATGGTGAAATTTAATTTTCTTTGGAGCTTTAAATTAATAAAAATATATTATTCTGCTTTCACAATTGAATACATGGTAGATAATACTCAGCTTTTGTGCATATACTTGTTTGTGTGGACATAATTACTATAGGCAGTCATGTGTGTGTTTTATATTTTAGTTTTGTTAAAGTTATATTTTGGAATATAGTTCAATTTCTTTAAGAAATTATAGGTTATTATATGAATTAATGTCATGAAAGAGTTCTTTCATGTTAGTTTTTGATTGGTTGATTTTGTTTAGCAGCATATCAATCTCCATATTTGTTTAGCATATCAAGGTTATGTAATGATGAAATCTATTTTGAACACAATTTTATGGCATCAACTACAGATAAAATTTATTGTTGGTCATTTTGCTATAAAAATTATTGTTAATTCTGCTTTAAAAATGTATGGTTGGTAAATTTTAGTATAAATATGTATTGCTGGTATTTTTATAATTTACAATCTTCCAACGTCCTTGCTACAAGATGTAGTTTATCATTATAACCAAGGCTATAGATCCACTATAAAGCATGGGTTTAAACTACACTTATACTGAAGAAATGCAAATATGCCTGAGTTGGTGTTAGCAACAGGGATTTGCTAGCTACCCTTGAAGATGAGCTTACTCTGAAATGTGATGTCAACCATTATGATTTGGAAAATCAGGTAAATTTATATTCTTAAAAAGATCCTGGATTTTTCCGGGGAGAGATAAAGATGCCAGAATCCTAACAATCATTATGGGCGAAATCAGAAGAAACTTTCAGTTGAATTACAAATTATTCTGGCATTTTATATTTTTTTAAATAATTTTTGAGAAAATATGGCAAAATAAGAAAAAAAAAAAGAAAAAGACAAATATGTTTTTCTTCAAGCAAGTCAAAAGATTCTTATAAACAAAAAACAGACATAAAAACCTGATGCCAAAGACAGTTTAAAACCATTTGCAACAGTGAACGTAGAATTAATATTCATCTCAAGTGAAAATCTCCAAGTTTTATGTTGTTTCCATAGATTTTCTTTTTTCTTCTTTTTGTTCTTTTAATTTGAAGTGAGCGAAATAATATTGAAAATTCAGTCTTTTCTTGTCATACCGGATTTTAGAATCATATGGCCATAAAAAACACTAAAGATAAAAACAGAGACAATGGGAGTTTTAATAGAGTGGAAGATATTTTTTTAAAGAAATGAAGAAATTAGAAAAACAAAATGACGTGTAGAAGTTTCTCAGCTATCTTTCCTTATACAAACATTATTAATGCTTGTCTTTCTTTGTTTTTTTGATTGACAGTCAATTCCTGCAGGAAAAAGCAAAAATATCTTGCCTCTAAGTGTTTCAAGAAATGCACTTTATCATAAAAAATATCACCAAATCATTCATTACAATATAACCAAACCATGGAGTGAAAGATGTTCCTTAACTGAATGAGAGAATATACTGAGAAAAAAAAATGTTGAAATACTTTGTCTTTTTATTGCTCTTAGGTATTCCCTACCACTTGTTAATTTTGGAACCCTTCATCATGCTTTTTACAATACCACTCCTGTTAATTAAATTTTGACTATTCATAGTCCCCCTACTCATTGCTTGAAAATTTTGTTTTGAAATATACTGTGGTTGGAAACTATACCACAGCAAATTTTCTTTTTCGTGAAATATCTTATGTATTTGATTTATGTAAAGTATAAACTTTATATAAAGAAAGTTTGTGTCACACCAGAAAGTTTTTCTCGCCTTAGTCCATCCTTCAAATCTATAAATCAACCATTTGGCCTCGCATGGAATACTGCTGCTGCCATATTTAATCTGGAGCCCCCGCTGTACATCTTAAGGTCCTCGACAGAATCCATAGACATATATGCAATGTGATTGGCACTGATCTGGCATCTCACTTACAGTCACTCTCTCACAGATATGCCATTGCTTCCCTCTGTCTTTTCTACAAATACTTTCACAG